GGAAGACACTACCTCAGTGATGCTTCCATTTCTGGAAAGGCCTAAAAATTAATCAGCAATCAGTTAACAAAGTAATGTTTGGGTTTGCTTCACATGACATACATAAAATATTTTAATCAAAAAAACCCAAACAAAATAAATCTAATTCAGTTCTTTAGTAGAATGACGCACCACTCCAGACATAAAACAGCCTAAAGAGAGAGAGAGGTAACACGGGGCGGCGATGAAGTCAAAGGCTTTAACTTCCCCGTTCAGTGACAGTGACAATAAAACTGTAAGATCTGCAAATTAGCTGATCCTGGAGGATGGCTGGCGAGGCCACTGCCACCTTCATTGACATTCTGCCCCCACAGCAATGTTGGCCTCCTGAACCTCTGGCACTGCTCCTCAGCAAAGCCAGCTCCAGGACCATCATGTTGCTAGGCATGCTGCAACTGAGTTTTGCGATCTGCTAAAGGGGTATTCCCATCACGAGCAGCGGCCTGGATTGAGAGATACAGATCCTCAGCATTCAAACACCAACATTAAAAAAAAATAAATTAAAAATCAATATATTTATTCGTTTGGCTACAACTGTAATATGGAAAGATTAAAAATAGTTTCAAGTTGAGAATCAACTGTGAGATAGTATTAAATCTGATGCATTTCCCATCAACTCAATATCCTGTTGCAACAACTATCTTTCATTTATAGTTAATTTTTTCATATGCAAGATGAAATAGCTAATGGAATAACTAATCATTACATTGATTTACTTTTCTCTATGGCCAATTTTTAATATTGACTGGTAAGTTATTTTACCCCCAAAAGGACATTTTATTAGTTTTGCTGAGTGTGAAAACTAAGTGTGCTTATGGATATTCAGTTGTCAAACACCAGTGAATTAAAAATAATTGTAAAAAGGATATAAATGATATTTTTAAAAGGTCTTCATAAACTATATCTATGAAATGTGGCTCAATAAAGCAAAACACTCCCAACTTTTCAGTAGAGGAAGCACAAAGATTCTGCACAAAAATAAACCTAGCATGATACCTCATACATTCCCAAGTACAATTACAAAATGGATTCTTAAGCAGAAACGGGGAAAAAAATCTTACTCTAAGACAATAAGTAAACTTTTAAAAGACAGCATTGTGGTTTTCATTACTACAGTTTTCTTTCCCTTTAAAGAACAGTATTTTAAGGAGAAATTCACCTAGCCATTCCAGAAAATAAGGAAGCACATAGAATTTGGTGAAGAAAAGATTACTTTTCTAGTAGCGCTTTTGCTGCTACTTTTTTTGACTCTTCCTTAGGCTGAAGAGGTTCCAAAAATGGTAAGGCAATTGACCTCAACATAGTCTGTTACACTACAAGCGTTAAGTATTCAGGCAGGACAAATGTAACAGCACAACATAATCTACCTGCACAAAGGAGCTTTATATATCTCTATTTGTTTTGCTTACCTATTAGACATATCTCTTCACTTTAACCTTTTTATTTAATATTTTACATATGTTTTCTTCTTATGGCTACTACCCTTTTTTTTTTTTTTTCCTAAAGGAACCTAAAGTTTTAGTGACTCCCTCAATGTATCTGTATATGGACAGACTTTATTATTACCTGTATTATCAACAATGATTTTTTCGTGTTGATTTCTTCAGTTAGTATCTGATCACCTATTTACTAGGTATTTCATAAATCATTAAGATCTTTAGGCACATGAAAATGGGATATGTACTCCAGATACCAGCTTTAAAAGTCTCATTCTTTGATCAGATTTTCATACAAGAACATGAAACTATATAATGACAGAATGAAAATCAAAGGTGACAGACTGGGCGACTGGAATTTCTATTGGACTTTTTTAATCCATTAAAACATCCAGCCTTATAATTTCGGAAGAGAATTTAGCACCAGATGGAATCCTCAGACAGCATTAGTAAAACAATAACAAACCTCCCTCAAATAAAATTTAAATCATGAGTTTAGAAAACACTTTAAAAAAAATGAAACACACTTACTAAATTTAAGAACTCATGTGACTGAGCACCAGGTCAAATCTTGTCATCATGGAAACAGCAAGAAGCGCAGCATTTAACTCGGCTTAATTTGATAGATTCCAGGAGACCAGGAGACTCGGATTTACAGGGAACAGGCTGAAGTGTGACTTTACAGCAACTGAAATTTGGGGTCCAGATAAGCACCAACAACATTAAGCCCATGTTTAAGAAACAAACCAAAAAAAGGGGGTGGGGTAGGCAAAGAACCTAGGAACTTATGATTGGTTTGCAGGGTATTGGATTTCTACTGTATTCTCTCCCTCCAACGGCAGCCCGAGGAAAAAGCAAATCTTAGTTCCGCCTGACAACTCCACAAGCTCAACACGATGGCAGAGAGAGAAGTATTGCTAACTCTGCCCTTTAGGGCAAGAAGCTGGTGGGCTGGTGAGTAAACCTTGTGCTGCAGCCTCTGAAGTGAAGCTCTCTTTCTGACCTACCGTTTGCAGGCAATAAAGCTTCAAGTTGTTGTACATAACTCCATTTGCTGAGGTTATACAAGCAGGGTTAAACTAAGGCACTACCGATACAAATGAGTTAGCTTGTGTATTTCTACCTATTTGTAGTTACAGTACCATGCTAACAATGCATTTACTGGCTCCAGGCTGTGTTTAATAAAAGGTTAGTTCAACTTCAAGCATTTTCTAGAACTTTTCTTGAATTTCAGGAGGTCCCATAGAAACTTGTTACCAGGAATGCCAACAAAGCCCAGAAGTGGTAACCTGCCAGGTCTGGAGCACAGATATAAAACTACTTTATTGGTATGAAACCAGCCCTGTGAGTTGTGAGAAATTAGATACTTCATTGTTCCTTGTCTAAGTCTTGCATGCTGAGGACCTACTAAGCAGGAAATAGTGACAAAATAATGACAAAATAACATTAATCCAAGTTGTGTTTGTAAGAAGACACAGGGTTACACCACCTTATAGAGCAGCAGTCAGCCAAAAAGAGCCTTCTGAAATAAACAGCAACTTTTCAAAAGAAGGCAGCAGACACATTCCTGTAGGCATGGAGCATTATGAGATACGTGCAAAGAATACGGTCCATTTTTCCGTAGTATCTATCGGGGCTAATTGTCAGCAACAGCTCAGCTTAGCTAGAGGAATGTTTCAAGTCATATTTCAATCTGCTTTAAAGATTGTGCAATGGTAGAAACTGGTATATAAACGTTTAAGACAGCAAGTAAGCAGCTTTGGGATTTGGATTTTAAATTGTTCACTCTTGAGTTCTAACCCAAAAGAACTTTCACAGAGAACAGAGCGTAACATCAGGGAACTAACGCCAAGGCTGGTTTTGATATACATAATACTACTTTATTCCATTGTTTCAACTTTCTTACAGGTTTAAAAAACGTACAGGGGTTCAGAACCACCTCAACAGAACAAAGAATACATAATTAAGGGAGATCTAGAGTCAAACCACAAGTGTGCAAGCGTGGTTAGCTTCCATTACAAAAAGTAATAGGCACAATCTTTACATATGCATTTTGGTGAAAGAAGGAATAATAGTGCAGTGTTAAAAGGCACCAACAATCAATAATTGGGCCTTTTTTAAAAGCCAATAACCATCTAAGAAAATTACATTTGGTTCAAAATAATAATTTGAATATTTTATTGACTGGCATGCATCTGAACCCCTGGCAATTTATTACACCAACCTAATGTGCGCCCTTGCAAAATAAAAAAGATTTCATCAGTGGACCTGAAAATCAATTCAGTACAAAAGGAAATACTGAAGCTCTTCGCCTGTATTTAATACTAAGCTGTCGTTGTTCACCTCATCCGAGAACACTTGTCTAACAAACAGCTATTCAACAACCGCACAGAAGTATTTCTCTTAAAGCAAGTGTAATTTTTTAATCCTGTAGCACTGACCTATTCCGTGTGCTATGAAAACATTAGGCACAGACCACAATTTACGTTTTCTCTAAAAAAAATACAGTATGTGCAAGCTAGGTTCACACAACGGATTGACAGCTACAACAGTAAGCTATTTAGACTTCCCAAAGAAAAGGGTTAGTTAGTTTTAATTTTCTAAGCAGTGATGCACACTACTGTGTGCAATTATCATATTTGCGTTAGGATTATCTGTGTAGCCAATAAAGGAAAAGCTTTAGTACACCCTAAAGGACACTACATCGATACTGTGTGCTAATTTAACAGGATCAAGAGAATGAAAGATTGAAGAAGTCATTGTACATGGGCAGCTGCAGTTACCCAGCCAGCCAGGAAGGGCTATTGCTTTCTGCAGGAAGAATGGTTTGAAACTCAGTTTACCTCATAGGTGCCCTCCAACTAAACCACTTGGACGCAATGGAATCTAGGGATGCACAGAATGGAAAAAAAGGGGAAATGACAGGGAGAGCTTCTGTGAAAGTTGTACCAAAATGTGCCATTTTATCCAAAAGCATGCCCGGTGCAGGTTTTACGCATTGCGGATTGTTCGTACAACTGAAAATTGTACAAGATGTGAGCAGAGATAGAGCTGATTATTAATCTGCAATATCTACTACAGTCCTCAGGTATATAATTTACGGATAGCCGCTTACTGTGTTGTTGTTTCCTCTTAAATATATTTAAATTCAGAAGGCTACAGTATATTCTGACACAAAGATAGTAAGACAACTTTTCTACAAGGGGGGAAATATAAGGTAGTAACTAACTAATTTATTTTATGAGGAACCTCCTCTGATGTGGTAGTTATTTCATGCCCTTTAAAAGATTTTTAGTTCCGACTTTCTTCATCGTCTCTGTCGAATTGCTCCCCTCACAATTTCACAAGAGCTATGTTCAAGTTCAGTGACCCCTCTTACAGCAGCCTTTTCCTTTTCCGCAATCACTTTTAAACTCACTCTAACATCATAGCAAGCTATTCAAGTAAACATTTCTCTTCTGGCAAGTTTCCAGGTACAGCAAATACTATCAAAACTCCGCGTATGATTACATGCGCTAGTTTTCTTTAAATGGAGCAGGAATTAGCCCGTTTTCGTGGTTTAGGGTCCCGTACATCCCTGTCTTTTAAACACATACAAGATGAACATATTGTCTCTGACAGTCTCCGCAGTCCCAGCCTGAAAACGCTGTTGGAGAGGCTATAAATCACACAGTTGCAGAAACTATTGCTTATAGCAAGCCACGTTGTTAAGAAGGAAAGTGCTGGGTTTTCCAACACTCTAGAGCTCTCCAGCAGAAAGTATATGATATAGGGGAGCCACAGCATGTAGAACACACTAGTTATCCGAAACAAAACCATGGCATAGCGGCGATCGGGGCTGTGCCCAGTCTCCCCAGCAGCATCCACTTCGTGGCTAGGAAATCGAGCTCTCCGATCATTTATCTCTTTGGTGTGCTGCCGGCAAATTTTAAAGATGTGGAAATACGTGAAACATATGACAAAGGCAGCAGGAGCGTATAGTAAGCACACAATAAAGCCAGTAAAATAGGCATTAGTTAGCCAGGAGGTAGCACACCATTCAAAAATATCTCCATGGTAACCAGGTTTTCCCCAACCAAAAAAGGAAGGCAAGAAGATCAGACAAGAGTATATCCAGATCAAAATGATGCAGATTCTCAAGCGACAAGGTGTGACCAGTTGATTATAGGAGAGAGGCTTTGTTATAGCGAGATAGCGATCCACACTGATGCAAGCAAGACATGCCATAGATACGCTTTTTAGCACAGAGATGATATATCCAAAAACTTGACAAGTCAAGGACTCGTGGACACCTGTCGAGTAGTGGAGCAGTGACAAAGTAGGAACCAAGCAGCTAACTCCAACAAAAAGATCAGCATAGGCCATGGTCTGAATAAAATAGCTGGTGGTATAATGATGCAGAAGTGGAGCACAGTGAAAAACAAATATCACAGTTAAGTTACCCGCAATAATTAAAAATGTTAGCAAGACAATAACAACTGTCTCAAGGATACAGATGTCAACTGCATTGTAGTGACCAAATCCAAGAGGGCAGGAGAGATGCTCAGATATGTTCATAACACTACTGCTCATATTCAGAGTCCTCCATTCAATCCATCGGGACTGGTTCATGTTTTGTGATTAGGGAACACTGCAATCTGAGCCTTAGGGAGCAGATGACCTGCTTAACAGCAGCTAAACTCTGCTTCAGCGTCTCACGATCTCTCTTTGTAGACACTGCCAGTGCTTACATTTGAGAGGATTACAGTCCCATAGCTGTTGATGCCTCCTCAGCATCAGTGCATCACCTCTGGCACACCTTAGCTTTAAGGAAAGAAAGAAAAGAAAAGAAAAGAAAACAAAACAAAACAAAAAAGCCAGAAAGAGAAAGGCCACTGATCAGCTCCTCCAGTGCTCTTGACCGATCTTTAGCAAACACAAGGCACTTCTAAAACAAACAGGTACTGTGAAATATGGAAATAAAAACTGACAAAAGAGAGACATTCATTTCCCAGGGAAGGAGGGGGGGAAATCTCTGACCGCTTATTTTCCTGAGGAAGTAATTTACTTTGGAATATAATAGGGTGAGGGGGAGGAAGGGAAGGAGGAACTCAGTACAGCTTAGGTTTCCTAGACCAGCAGTTACTGGAGATAATCTTTTTAATGTCTCAATTTAAATCACAGACTGACTGGAGAGTAAAGGAAAGAGTTCATCATCTAATGCTGTCTTTTCTGGCTCCATTCAGGAGATGGTACTCCATCTTATCCATGCTATTCATTGGTAAGGTAAGGAAAACATTTTTGTCAAGGTTAATTCCAATAGACTCACCACTGTTTGGGTATGAATAATGAATTTTATTTGGAGGGAGACGGGTGGGGGACAAGGCAGATTTGTCCTCTGACTCCCAAGAAAGAAAACATACATCTCGGATACAATGAGGAAGATCGTGTCTGTTCATTTAAAAATGAAGATAATTTAAGAATAGAATTTGGAGACTTATGTCAATATTCACAATTCCTTCAAACAGTTATAGTCCATTACAATTACTAATGCCAGAAGCACAATTCAAGGTCCCCACAGACAAAATAAATCCTCTTGAATTTAATTTCATCAATGGTAATTTAAAATAATCATCTTTGGAAACTGCCATAACTGCTACAGTGGGATCAGTACCCAGGAGTTCATAGGTATATCCATGATATTGCTCACCTCTGTAGCAACACCTGAATCATTTCACAAACCCCCATACAACGAGAACAGAAACTTCCATCTGCATTCTGCTGTGAAGCTAATGAAATGCTGATTTGACTAGAAAAGCTGCCATTGTTTACTAGTCCGTTATTCTGTTATTCAGGTTCATCTTCTATGTAGTTTTAGGGCTTCTGTATTTATTAGACAATCAGCATCATAAATAGTTGCTTTAAAAAAATGTTCTTCTAATTGCAGGACATTACCTTGTTCATTTTATTTGCAGTTACGGAGAAAGCAAACGTTAAAAGAAAGCATCTTCTGTGTTCAGTTTTACGTAAATGCTTGATCAGTTCAGGAATCATTAGGCAGGTAATTAATTGTACGCAATCTTGCTTTTTGAAAGGCCCCTAAAATGTTAAAACCATCTTTAATCCTAGAGTTCCTGAAACTAGAAGACTGGCAGTGGGAATTAATGAATCCACATAAAATGATCTCCAAGGTCATTCAGCTATTACGCTGGCATTTGCTTTAAGTCTCTTTAAAAGTACCAGAATCTCTCTGATGTTTTTGATAGTCCTTGCTGCATCTTCAGGAAGAATTTCAGATACTAGAAGAGAATTTTCAATGCTGTTGCCGCAGTTTGAGGGAAAGCGTTCTTTTTGGAGTTAATTTCCTGTCGTGCATCGCCACGCTGTACAGAAAGTCCTTCTGGATTTTATAACATCCCAGAATATTTCCGGCTATTCGTTCCCTTCGTCTATGAGCAGCAGAGGACGTATAAAATCACTACTTTCTCCAATTCTTTGTTAAAGCAATAGAGCGATCTGTCTCACCTACAGGCATCCTTACCAGCCGCTATGATGAAGTGCTTGACAGGGGAGTCCTAGTTACTGTGGTGCGGCTAGAGCTTCTGTCGCTATTTCTCTCCTTCCCCCGTGAAATGACTGCTTGCACCTGAGTCCGCTGCTGCTGCTGCTGCTGCTCCTCCTCCTCCTCTCCCCCCCCGCCCCGCCGATGCAGACGAGCCGGGCGCTGGAAAGGTGCCCGCCCCCCCCCGGCCCCCAGCCAATGGCCGCGCCGCGCCGCTGTCACTAGGTAACGGCTGCCGGGCCGGGCCGGCGGCGCCCCCCGCAGCGCGGCGGGGGAACGGAGCGGAGCGGCAGGGAAGGGAGGGAGCGGAG